TCTGGTATAGCCTCACTCTCCTGCTATGATCTGTGCAATGGGAAGGATTAGGAAATGATGTGGTAGAAAATGAATCTTCCATGATGCTACCTTCGATCTTCCTACAGCTTAAGGCTTTATTGAGTACTATTGGGTGATTCTGTGTCACAGACCTTAAAAAAGAGAACTTTAATGGGAGGTCGTTGAGATATGCAAATTGGGACACAGGAAGAGAACGCAGTGTGCTAGGATCTATTTTTCTTAGAGCAGGGCTTTATATTTATTTATTTATTTTCTTGGAAGTAAGCTCCCGTTCAATGTGGGACTTGAACTCGCGATTCTGAAATCAGGAGTCACATGCCCTCCTTACTGAGCCAGCCAGGCATCCCTGCTCCATCTGTTAAATAACCTTGATGGGCGGAGGGCCCATTGAATTCTAGGATGATGGCACTTTGTGTTGATGACGATGATGACAATGACCAGCCAGGCACCCCCAGCATGTGTAAATTTTACTTAAAGAAAGCTCTGCAAACAAATACCGAATTCTAGTTAAATACTTCTGCAGGCGTGTCCTTAGGGTTCAAGTACATTGATGTCTGCTGGTGAGATGGGTCAAAACGATGAGATGGATAAATGGATGAACAGGGAGATGGACAGTTGAACATGGGTGTGTCCAAGCAAGTAGAGTAAAGTATTAGTTATAGAGTCTTAGTATAAGGGTACGTACACAATTTCAGCTTTTCTGGATGCTTGCAGATTTTCATAATAAAATGTTAGGTTCTCTTTCTAGAGAGAAGAGGCTCTCTAAAAAGATAGTACACAGAAGATTTTCAACTGTTTTTTTGATGGTTTCATTTTTTTTTTTTTTAGATTTTATTTATTTATTTGACAAAGCGATCACATGTAGGCAGAGAGGCAGGCAGAGAGAGAGGAGGAAGCAGGCTCCCCACCAAGCAGAGAGCCCGATGCAGGGCTCGATCCCAGGACCCTGAGATCATGACCTGAGCCAAAGGCAGAGGCTTAACCCACTGAGCCACCCAGGTGCCCTTGATGGTGTCATTTAAAAGAAAGCCTCACTGAATACCTAGGTATACCTATCTCTTTTGTCCCACCTGTGTTCTTTTCTTGGGCAGTCCTAGTATATCGCACAAATACTGGTACTTGGTAAAAGCACATTTCATTACTACACACTCAAAATTTAGGGGGAAATACAGTATGTCATTGTTCTCAGAACCTATTAATTAGAGAAATCCCATATCAACTAGGAATATTCTATTTGATTATACGTGAAATGCATCTATTCACTACAAATACGAAGTAGAGATTAATATATATTGTCCCTGAAGAGTTTTTTGGTTTCATTTATCTCTAAGCTGGACAATAAAAATGCGTTGAAATCTAAAATGCTGTAATGTCCAGAAAAGACCCGTTACTAGGTGATAAAATTTATACATTTTTTTATTAGTGGGATATAGTTGGGATTTTTTAATTAAGGCAAAATTGGTATATAACATCATGTAAGTTGTGGGTGTACAATACTGTAATTCGGCATCTGTGTGAATCACCACTAGACACCTAATCCCCGTCCATCAGCATGTCACTGCCTGCCCGCGCCCATTTTGCCCACGCCCCCATGCCCCCTTCCCTTCCAGGAACCATCGGTCTGTTTTCTGTATTTATGATACACATTCTGTCTCCAAGCATGAGGCATTTTGGTGGATTCCAGGAGTGTGCTTGTGGGTGTTTAAATTTTAAATCACCCCCCGTAACTGCATTTGATTCTCTGCAGTGATTGGGCGACGGAGCAAGGAGGGAGGGGCTAACTTTGTACCGTCTTTCTCATGCCCACCAGAAAACAAACAAACAATCAATCAAAAAACCCCAAAACTAGAACACTACAAAATAATGCTAAGCCATGATTGCCTGAGATTCACCCAAATTAACCCCTAATAATATACCTCCACAGTTTATTCTTTATTTTTCAAGTTACCTGCAATTGTAGTTATTCTTGTAGTATTTGTTTACCTGCGTTATGCTTAGCTAGAGCATTCTAAGTAAGATACATCCAAAGTAGTGAATAAGTTGGCAATAGGAGATTAAAAGTTATCGAATGAACTTATTTTTTGTACATTCTGTATATTTACATTCAATTATTTCAGTAGCGTTTGAAAGAAAATGTAATTCAGGGAAGGACTGGGGTTGAAGGTTATTAGTTGGTGAGCAGCTCTATTTGACTCTACCTGTTTCTTGTGGCAAAACAATGACATTTCAGCATCATCAAGCACTAAACAAGATAGTGCTAACGCAGGCACCTGCGTCCTAAAAAAATGAAACAAACCCCTCGTGTTCCAAGAATATAAAGTATAAATATTTGCATCATAAAACTACAAGCTTCAAAGTAGCTGTCTTTATCAAGTGAATATATTTAGTTTCTGAATCCCCAAAAAGGTAACTAAAGTCTGATTACCAGTTATTCTAAGATAATTTTAGTATACTTTTATCACTTAAATATCAGACACATAAGCTAGCACATTCAAGTCCTGCTCAGACTATGACCGTTGAAGAGCTTTAAAATACCAGAAATGAAAAATCATTTGCAGAGTGTTAAGACCATGTGTTAATAAAAGAAACACTGGCCCATAGACAATGTAGGTGTGTGAAAAGCCCTTTGTCACTATCAGCCAAGCCTCTTTCTTAAAAGATAAGAATAATGGGTTCAGTACCAGAAATGTGAGCTATCTAAAGAAAACAGTATGGTAACATAATTAGCATCTAGTGAATTGCTTACTATTTTTTAAAAAAATTATTTAAGTAAGACTGTTACCCCCTTCCTTTGAATAGCATTAGAACCTTGAATGTATTTAGATAAAGGGAACAGACATTATATTTAAATCACTTCTTAAAATACTATGTTTGCATTTATATTTAGAAAAAAAACACAGAGGGGCGCCTGGGTGGCTCAGTCGTTAAGCCTCTGCTTTCAGCTCAGGACATGATCCCAGGGTCCTGGGATCGAGCCCCGTATTGGGCTCCCTGCTTGGCAGGAAGCCTGCTTCTCCCTCTCCTACCACTCCCCGCCCCTGGCTTGTGTTTCCTCTCTCTCTGTTCCTCTCTCTCTCTCTCTCTCTCTCTCTGTCAAATAAATGAAATCTTAAAAAAAAAAACACACACACATAGAAAAAAAAGTTGTTAGTTATGCTGAGGGTGGTGAGAGTAACAATAAGTGGAAAGAATACAGCATAAAACACATACGTCCACCAAAACCAGACAAGAACAAAATCAGTTATCCTAATGATTAGAAATACGACTTACCTCCTTCTGACAAAGGTATTTGGAGGTATATGGAAGGGCAAAAGCCGCAATAATGGATGAAGCACATCAGAGCTGAGGATCTCAAACAAAACATTCACAATATTAGACAGGTATGTTTCAGACCTACCTTCCTCCCCAAGAACTGGCATCCCTCGGAAAACCTGCCTTAGAAAATCAAACTTGAATCACTTGACTAGCAGGAACCCACACACTGTCTTCATGCTACTGGGAAGTAAATGAAGGTACAGGGTCTGTTCTCCAGCGAGGCTTCATGAGCTGTGCCACTTTTTGGCGGGGCGGGGGATAGGCAGAGTTACCCTGAAACGGACCACGCAGGCTGTCCGAAAAAGTCTTCAGTTTTGACTGCACTAGAGAGCCAGCAGACATGCCCACAACCGAAGTTCCAGCAAAGCTGCCTTTAATCACGCCATCGGAAATACATGCTTTTAATAAAAGCTGCACAGAGTTATTGCTGCAGGTGTCTCCTGGGCTCCTTTTGAATCATACCAGGATTAGAATGTCCAGAAGGAATCTCTAACCTGAAAAGGGGTTTCAAAGAAGAAACAAAGACACAGGCTTTGTCTTGACTGCATTTTTTAAACTACTCTCCCAGAACGGAATCTTTCCTCCCTTCTAGTAAACACATGCTTGTAAACATGAAAATAAAGGGGATATAAATGAACAATCCCGTGCTCTCCTATATCAAGGCATCAACCCCAAATCCACGACAGTCTCACCATTTCTCCCAAACAGGCATTTGGGGTTGTAAGCGTTGGAAAACAAAAACAAAAAAATGCAAAAACACCCACCAAACGAAGGAGGCACTGCAGCCTAGGAGAATGAGCTCTGCTAGGTTTTCAGAGTTCAGGTATTTATTTCACACACCGCCTCACTTTTGTTCCGGAGCGAGACAGATCCGCGGGTGCCAGGCACGGTATGGACAATGGGCACTAAAACCACACAGTCAGTCTCAGCAAATTAGGGAAACGAGAGATCGTTTGGTGGCATTCTATTGTCGCTACTGCAATCACCGTCCTTTTCCCTGGTAATGGTGCTTTGTGATGAAGTGCGGTTTTCACAGGATAATTGGGAAAGATACCGCAAGATTCAGGGAGGCAGCATCTGGTTTTAAAAGCTCTTCAGACTCAAACTGGCATTTTACTTTATCTTGGAAAATTTATTAGAGATTCAGATCATGCCGGTTTAAATGGAAAGGTGAAAGCAGGGTAATTTCGATCTATGAATTATTCAACCCCAGCCTGGCGAAATTGCCATCCCCGAGCTGATGCTCTGACAGTCCTCTCCCAGAGCCTCCATTACGCTTGTCACTTTTCTTTATCCACGATCTCTTTCTCAGTTACCGAGCGTTGTCCCTTAGGGCTCGGCTTCACAAACCGAAGTATCTCTGGCAAAAACCTAAACGTGCTGCTGCCTCCACAGGCTGCCTTTCTCCCACCCCCGCCCTCCCCAAATCATTAAAAACCACATCCGTGATGCTATCTGTTAGGCTCCCCGAGTAGATAAATTACAAGGCGCGCGCGCACACGGGTGCACGCAGGAGGGCATCCCTGCGAAGGAGAGCTACGTTCCGCTAACATCGCAAGAGAAGAGAAAGTGAGGCTTCCTGCTTCTTTCTTTGTTGTCAGTGTGACCCATCCCAGCTACGCAGCATCCCGCAGAGAGGAACCAGAGCGAAAGCAGGCTTGCCTGGCACCCTGATTTCCAGCCAGAGCAGAGGAAGACTGCACCGAAGGCAGGCTCACTGCAGACAACTGCATACCTAGCAGCACGATTATGTAGGAAAATAAGAAGAAGCCATCAGATGCCCGGAGTCAGACTGTCATTCTCTCTCCGGGCTGCACTGAGCAATCGTCCACTGATGGCTGGTCGTGTCCCTGCTAGTCGGCAGCTGTCCCCGCATCCAGAGAGGACTGGCATTGAATTAGGTCAGTGAGTCTGGTTTCTCCTTTACACCGTGTTCTAACTGAGGAGCGGGGACCCGTGCCAGCCCCTATGACCAGCCTGAACTGGGAGCGGGAGAGTCCCATGGCTTCAGTTTGCTGGAGTCGCCTGCGCAGGCCCCGGCCAGCCGCACCAGCCACGGGCAGCCTCGTCTCCTCGGTCCTAGCCTCTATTCCTGCAGGTCGAGCAGCGTGGCATGAGGCGCCCACAGACTGGGGGCGCAGGCGCCGGGGGGACCCGCCACGCCCCGCTCCAGGCAGTGTGGCTGCGAGGCTCCAGCACTACCTGCTCTGCGGCGAACTCCCGCGGCCAGCGTGCGCCCTGAGACCGCGTCTCTGCTCCTGGCTAACCCAAGGTAAATACTCCTCACGTAAGGGATGCTGAGTAGTGGCAGGAAGAGGACACTCTCAAACTCTGCCGCCGTGCGCCCAGCTGTCCGCCCCGGCTTTGCTGCACTGCGGCTGGCAAGCGGCAGGAGCCCGGGCTCTGGCAGCCGTGACCGTGATCGTGCAGCAGGCAGCGGCGGTGACGCAGCCGTCAGCTGACTCGCAGGGCGCTCCCGGGCCGTGGCCTCCCCAGCATCAGGCCGGTTTCCAGCGTGGCACCGGCCAGGTGACCTTGAAGACGCAGCCTCGCTGCTGCAGGAGGGCAGCCTGCCTCCCTCCGCACCTGGCAGCGAGCCCCCACACCTGGCAGGGACGGCTCCGCGTTCCTTGCTTTCCTCTGGGGCACGGTTTGTGTGCGTGTGCGTGTGTGCTTTAACTCGCAGCCTGCAGGACTTAACTCTTTCTGCCCTGCTTGCTAAAGACGGCAGGTCATCCTTGGAGTGACCATTCCGACGCGAACACAGGCCGCAGTCATCTCCGCCACCTGTCGTTTTCGTTAGCTTCGGCGTCCGAAGAAGAAACGTGGGGGGAATTCCTGCCCGTGTTCTGATTTTAAAAGCACACTTTTTTTAAACAGGTAAAAATTGCCTCAAGCCACTTGTAGGCTGTAACGGACTAGTAAATGGTATCCTAATGCGATGGCAGGAGCAACAGGAAAACCCCGAGGGTAACGGAGTCCAGCAATAGCCTTAAAGCTTGGTCCGGCCGCTAGAAAGCAGCGCGCATGCTCCGTGACGGAGCGCAGGTTGCGCATCCCAATTAATCTGACAATGGAGCAAAAGCCTTATATGGTATTACCCCAGTGGTTTGAGGAATGCCGAAATAAGAAAGCAGCCATTACCAGGCATTTGTTTAATGACTGTAATCATACTGAATTAATTTAACTTGCTGCAATGTTTAACAAAGTCAATTATAAATTTGTGCTGGAAGCATAACAATACTAGTATTTGCATACACCTTGCTCCGAGGAGACGTCCTCTGAAGATAACCTCATCTCGCCAGCACTGACAGAGCACTCAGGATGTGCTAAGTGCCTTACAGGACAATCCACGGCCAGCCTCTCTGAGGACAGGCGCTCATGATTCGGAGCCCGAATGACACAGACATCCGGTGTGAGGGGCGTACAGAGGATTGCTCCCCTGGCCTATGCAGGGCACTTCGTAAGGATTCATCGGGGCTTTTGTTTTTTTCTTATTTATGTCCAACGAATTTTAGTTTTCTATTTGCTGCTTTTCAGGTTGTCCTGACATGAATCCTAGTCAAAACTAACAGGAGGTCCAAACTAGATGACAGAAATCATCCATGCAGTCATAGAATTACTGTATTAGGGATACCCTGAGTGTTAAGATTAGAATGACTAGGAGTATGTAAATGAAGGACTGATTCTACTTGGAGGCAGTGGGCGGATAGGAGGGAGCCAGAGGCCCATGGGGAGGGATGCTGCCTGCAGGGAACCCAACACAGGTCTTTCTTTCCCATTCTCTCGCGCTCTTATTAGAGAGTCCAAGTCTCTTAAGGTCCCCTTGCTACCTTCTTTCAAAATCTGTTACCAGGAAATGAGCACCCAAATGACACAAATAACCAATAAGTTTTAGCATCATTCCTTACACTTTTTGAGGCAAATAAAGCTTCCAGAAAAGGTATGGCTATCTGCTGGGGCAATTTGAGCACTAATTCATTTCCGACGGGGCAAGGAGGCCTTCTCCATCATATGGCAGATCTGTGCCTGTGGTGCTGACTGCATACCCCCTCCCCCACCCTGGGTGTAGGTATGGCTCAGCCTGGAACTTCCTAAAGCTTGTACCATGAATGAGGGCGATCAGCGTGGGTCACTGGGGCAGCCAGAGACACTCTGGCAGCATTCCTCCCTCCCTCTAGGACTTTGCTTCTGATTTCTCTCAGGTCCTTGGCCACCAAGAAAAAGTGGCTCAAGCATTGGTATTTTTAGAAAGCGTGCCCAGAGATGCCCAGGTTTCCCACAGGCAGAAAGCAGGCTTTCCTTTCATTGCAGACTATCCTGAAATAGCACGCTTCCCAATGACTAAAAAAAATGCTATTTCGCAACCATTAAGTACAGACTTGAAACCTCTGTAGCAAAGGATGGAAAAGGAGTGTGCGAGTGTGTAGAAAAATGGGTGATGTGCTTTATGAAAGTCAAACCCCCATATGTGTTAATGACTTACACATTTCTCTTAATTTTAGGTATCCAGAAATAGAAGGCACACATTTCATTTTCCTTTGCATTTTGCAGAATGAGGCCAGTGAGGTGGTGGCTGTCCAGGCCTTTGTTAGATAAGGAAAAAAAAATCTGTTCCTAAGCTCTCTGGAAATCTTCATTTTGACACGTGCACCTTGGGGGTCGGGGTGGGGACACACAGTCTCTGGCAGTCTTTAGAAGTTCGTGGATCGCTTCTCAGTGATATGCATACGCAGTACAATAAACAGGATTATCAAGGAAACTAATTGTATTAAATATTCTAGCTTAAGAACTCTTGCCTTGGAAAATCCAAATACTTCCAAGGTGAAATTGCAAAGAGATTGTGATGGTCTCTGTTCCAACTTTTATCCAAGAAGAAAAGAAGTTCAAGAAGAGCCTAGGGGTTCAGTCGGTTAGGTGTCTGCCTTCAGCTCAGATCATGGTCCCAGGGTCCTGGGATCAAGTGCCGCACTGGGCTCCCTGCTCAGTGGGCAGCCTGCTTCTCCCTCTCCCTCTGCTGCTCTCCCTGCTTGTGCTTTCTCACTCATATAAATAAGTAAAAACTCAAAAAAAAAAAAAAAAAAAAAAGCCTAGACAAGATAAAAGGGTGGGAAGGAGACTAGATGACTGTATTTATTGAACTTCATTAAAGTTGAAATGTTTCTTCTCGAAAGTGACCTTTTTAATGACTAGCAGATTCCCCATGTTCACATTTAAAAGAACAGCCCAGACTTTCCATACTGTCACCTCGCATCATATGGACCCTTCCTGAGGCTTTAAAAAAAATAATGTGGACGCAATTTATTCTTTCATCTTTTTGTTTTACAGATGAGGGAGACAACTGAAGCTCAGAAAGGCTGAGTCCTGCTTACAGCTGCATGTGAGTAAAAGGGCAGTAGAGCCCGGAGCCCAAATCCTATACCTGCACCAAGACCCACTCCTTGCACATACTCGGTCACTCTACCAAACCACTGGCAGCTGGCAGTCAACCACAGAGGGAATATTTACACCACAGAAATGGGCAAACACTAAAGTCTGGGTGGTGGTTTTCCCTCCAGAGAGCTGATTGACGTGGTGTGATATCTTTAATTACGCCAGCTTCTAATCACGCGTTCTTTCATTTCAACCCCAGAATCAAGGGTGCTTAGGAATGTCAAGCATAATGGTTCATTCAGCATAAAGCTTGCAGGTCAGAGGGTCTTTTTTTTTTTTTTCCTTACCAGAGCACATACCCTCTCCAGTGTCCATCACTCAGCCACCCCATCCCTCCCATACCCCCTTCCCTCCAGCAACCCTGAGTTTGTTTCCTGAGATTAAGAGTCTCTTATAGTTTGTCTCCCTCTCTGGTTTCATCTTGTTTTGTTTTTCCCTCCCTTCCCCTATGATCCTGTTTTATTTCTCAAATTCCTCATATCAGAGAGATCATATGATAATTGTCTTTCTCTGATTTATTTTGCTTAGCATAATATCCTCTAGTTCCATCCACATCCTTGTAAATGGCAGGATTTGGGGGTTTTGATGGCTGCATAGTATTCCATTGTGTATATATACCACATCTCCTTTTTCCATTCATCTGTTGATGGACATCTGGGTTTTTCCCATAGTTTGGCTATTGTGGACATTGCTGCTATAAACATTCGGGTGCACGTGCCCCTTCGGATCACTACATTTTTATCTTTAGGGTAAATACCCAGTAGTTCGATTGCTGGGTCATAGGGCAGCTCTATTTTCAACTTTTTGAGGAACCTCCATGCTGTTTTCGAGAGTGGCTGCACCAGCTTGCATTCCCACCAACAGTGTAGGAGGGTTCCCCTTTCTCCACATCCTCACCAGCATTTGTCATTTCCTGACTTGTTAATTTTAGCCATTCTGACCAGTGTGAGGTAGTATCTCACTGTGGTTTTGTGTTTCCCTGATGCCGAGTGATGTGGAGCACTTTTTCATGTGTCTGTTGGCCATCTGGATGTCTTCTTTGCAGAAATGTCTGTTCATGTCTTCTGCTCATTTCTTGATTGGATTATTTGTTCTTTGGGTGTTGAGTTTGATAAGTTCTTTATGGATTTTGGCTACTAGCCCTTTATCTGATATGTCATTTGCAAATATCTTCTCCCATTCAGGTCAGAGGGTCTTTAATCCTAGGCCACTGGTTATCTGTGTGACCTTGGGCAGGTTCATTCCCCTGTCTGGGATTCCTCTGTCGAACAAAGATAATAATACCGTGCACACCAGTTATGTACATTCGTGATGCTATGCTCACACGTGCTAAGCGACCAATGACTGTTAGCTGTGATTATGTTTCTCCTCTTCCTCCTTCTCCTTTTCCTGATTCAGTTGGTCATCATAGCAGACTGACATTATTTGCACTGAGATAGATAAGGATTTTTTTTTAAAGATTTTATTTATTCATAAGAGAGAGAGAGAGGCAGAGAGAAAACCAGGCTCCCCAAAGAGCAGGGAGCCTGATGCGGGGCTCGATCCCAGGACCCCAGGATCATGACCTGAGCCGAAGGCAGATGCTTAACCATGTGAGCCACCCAGGCGCCCAGGTAAGGATATTTTTAAGAGATCATAGACAAAAAGCAGAAACAACACCCCCTCCAAAAAAAAAAAACCCTATACAAAGAACTTGGGATTCTGGAGAGTGGAGGATTAGCCTCTGTTTCCTGACTTTTGCGGGTAACAGATCGGAAAGGCCAGTATTATTTCTGCATACCCTCTGTAACCTAAGGGAGCGTCACAGTTCAACAGAGAAATTACTGAGGGGCATGACTTCAGCATGGTTTTAGAGATCTTAAAGAAGACAGAATAGAAGTATACACTGGATTTGAGGTTTTCAGACAAAGTTGCCAGTTGTATGCAAAATGTGCAATCCTGGGGCCTCTAGCCCCTGTAGCCACGCAGCTCCCTCTGTGAATGTGTCTTCACTTGTGGTGTCTAGCGGCCAATCTGCACACCTGCCGAGGCGTACTGTATGTTTCAGAGCTAAGAATCCCTCCTTTAATGAGCCGGAGCTTCGGGGGAAGAGGCGTTGCCTGCAGGCTCTGGGAGACTTAGTCCACAGGAGCAAGGGCTTGGAATATCAAGCTGGCTGCGTCTGGAGGGCTATAAGCCAGGGAGACGCCCCCTCCCCTGTTCAGTGGCTTTGGCACACCCCTGGGATGGGTACCACAGGTTCGGTCCCATCTTTTGGGCTTCTCTGCAGCCAGAGTGCTACTGAACACGGGACTGCCGTGACAGTGAGAGGAGAGAGAAGCAGCTTGGAAAAGGTGGGGCAGTACCCACCCCACTTCTGCTCATCCCAGCCCAACCACGGAAGGGCAGCAGGGGGACAGTGTTACTGCCGTGGTACCCTAGGTTCACACCGAATCCCAAGGGACGATAGAATGACGTCATGCCATCCTTACAGACTGAGCATTACAGTCAGTAAGTTCTAGCAGTTCAAAGGAAGGACAGGTCACCTGGCTCTCCTTGCCCTGCCTCCCCCGCAGGCTCCACGTGGCCCCCCCTACTTTGGGCTCACTCCTTTTCAGAGCTGAAGGTGCACTCGCAGAAAGTGGCTTCAGCTGGGACAACAGGAGCCCTCGAAAGAGCCAGGCTGTGGCCCAGGAGACATCAGCCTTCCAGTCCCTGAAGGTAAAGATGTTTTAACCCAAATACCGATGTATAATAACAGAACTGCAAGAAAGAAAAACAGACACAGTTTCCATTTATTGAGTGTCGGGCATGTGCCAGGCACACAGGCTAAGATTCCCAACCACGAATGCAATAATAATCACATGCATAGGGCCTTCCATGTCCAGAGTTCCAAACGCTTTACATACATAACTTAAATCATTCCCGCAACCACCCTCCGAGGAAGGAATTCCCATTCAACCTCCATGAGGTCCCTTCCACAAATGAGAAAAGGGAGGCATGAAGAGAGGAGTATTGTTCAGATCACATACCTGGTAAATATCAGGCTGCGCATTCAAACCCTCAGTGTCTAATCTGGGTTCAAGTTCAGATCCTGTGCCCTTGAACACCAGTATTCAAACACGGGATTCGTGCGGTGAGTGTTCAGTTGTAACAATCTTCGAGTGGCTTGGAAGAACCTAAGAGAAAGGAAGGGAAAAACAGAAAGTAAGCTTACAGTCACTCAGGGAAGGGTTAAAATCTAAGAATCAGTCATCCCATACCATAAAAAGTATTAGCGAAATGGGATTTTCAGCCAAGTGTTCCTTTAATGATTGAACTCTGTGGTATGCTAGTAAGTTGGCTCTCAGGGGAAGAAAAGAATGGTTTGTAGCGTTTGCCCATTTCTGTGGTGTAAATATCCTCACCACAGCCGAGCTCAAGATTCCAACAGTGTAACAACCTGTTTGCAAGATTCCTGAGTATTTAACAATCCGTTCTCGAAAAGCCTGAGAAGCTGCTTCAGCACACGGTAGTGTGGGCTCCGCAGCGGCCTGATCAACTCCCTCCCAGAACCGTATCATTTTATAATGTCTACACATTCAGGGCGGATTTCGTACTAAACACACAGCTCTGTGATGTTCCATGACTTAGGTAGTCTCTCTCCTACTCTCCCTCCCAAGCAATGTGTTTTTACTTCTCGTATTTCATGAAAGACGTTTTTACTTTTGATCTTGATTTTAAGAGGAAGGTGCGACATTCATAGTTCTCTTCCTTTGACCTTCTAATAAATCTAACAAACTGGTGTGGCTTTGGGAGTGGGAATGACTCCTAGTTGGGTAAAAGCTTTCCTCCGTGCATTGGTCGGCCTTTGGGAGACCCGAGAAACCCACGGATGTCGTGCTTACATGTGCATGGGAATCCGCACGCGTGTACACGTACACACACACACACACACACACACACTCACCACTATTGACCATGAGCCCTCCACAGCCTGGAACACGGCTGAACCCGCCGCACTCACCAGTTTGCATCAGCACCTGTTCCCAACCACTGCCTCAGACCATAGCTGCACACAACTTTTCAAGGCCCGGCCAGCCAGGCAAGTCACTTTTTAAGTACACGATTGCCATGAGGTCATGATGTGAATGCAGACCCAGCAAATGAAATGGCAATTACCCTTTGAGAAACGATGTAACTCTAGGGATAATCACCACGTTCTGCGTAATTTTTTTTTAAATCTTTGGGGGGGTGCTAATTTGTAAAGCACATATAACCAAATGAATAATTATATAGCAAGGGGCTGAAGGCAATTACAAAATAATTGCATGCTATCTGATCCCTCCATGAAAACAGGCTTCACAGAATGTTCCCCTAAACTATTTCTTGTACCTGTGGAAGGCTTTAAGGTTATTCTTTTTCTTTAACTCTTTTGAGTCATGTTGTTGGTAAAATATACTCAAGTGTTGGTCCTACGTGTAGGTTAGAAACCCAGCATAAAGCTTGATTTTTGCCCCTATATTCTATAAAGTAAACTTATGGGAAATTCAACACTTTGTTATAAAATAGGCTTCATGTTAAATGGCTTTGCTCAGCCGCAGGGTCATGTAAGTGTTCCGAGCAGGCAGGCTAGCCTGAGCTATGATGTCCAGTATTGCTGACTTTGGATACTTTCAAGTTATGATGGTTTATCAGGATGTAACTCGAGGAAGACCTGTACTAGAATTACTCAAAAATCTTACGAATATGATCTGTCTTTGGGTCTGAAACAGCACCTGAGACCTCTGAAAACATGTTCCTCTGCGTTATGCCTTTATGTACATCCCTCACGACGTTTCCATTCTCAGCTGAAAATGAGTAAGACTGGGAGAGAGAGGGTAAGTGACTTGCCCAATGACTTCTATCTCCTGGCTCCAAGATATCCCCCCGCCCACCCCATGCCACATGCATGCACTTTCTTTGTCCTGATCGTTATTGTTTCTATTCCTGAAGTTAAAGAAGAGAAAGGGAGAGACAGAGGGAGAAGTACAGCCAACTGGTTACTAGAAAGAAATGGAGTGAGGAGTTGGGGATCCTTGGGATGCATTTTGCAAGCCCGTCCAGAAGCTAGAAAGAGCCCCCTATCAATAAACACACACGAAACTTGCCCCACTGTGTATCCTTCTAAAACAGACGGCATTGACGATCAACTTTAAAAGCCAATAAACAATAGTGTGGAATATCTCATGTAATTTGCTGAAGCCTGTACCCAAAGTGGAAAAACGGAATGTGTGTACAGAGGGATGGTGAAGCGTATTGGCTGCTTACCGTCATGATCGCGGGGCTGACTGGGAGGGGGCGGAAGCTTGTCGCCGCTGCCTGGCTCACAAGGTGACATCCTACCCCGTGTATCGCGAGCCTGGGAAAGGATGAGAATTCCATGTACAGTTTCTACTGATTTAGTATTTAATCTAGAATGATCTACTTGTGTGCCAGTGCTCACCCTCCACCCCCACCCCCCGCCCCCGGACCCTGCCTCTCACTCTATTGCCGCCCTTGGCAATTTCTTGTGCTAATCATGCTTTGCAGATGGTCCAGAATGAGAAACAACAAAAAGCCAAAGAACTAATCTGGAAGAAAAATTATTTCTTGTATTTTTTTTAAGATTTATTTATTTATTTGACAGAGAGAGATCACAAGTAGGCAGAGAGGCAGGCAGAGAGGAGGAAGCAGGCTCCCTGCTGAGCAGAGAGCCCGACGTGGGGCTCGATCCCAGGACCCTGGGATCATGACCTGAGCCGAAGGCAGAGGCTTTAACCCACTGAGCCATCCAGGCGCCCCTATTTCTTGTGTTTTAATAAGAGATTAATTACAGTTGACCTTTGAACAAGATGGGTTTGAACTGCGTGGGGTCACTTAGATGTGAATTTTTTACTGTCTCGTACGGTAAAGGTATTTTCCTTATTTTTTAAATAACATCCTCTTTTCTCTAGCTTAGTTTGTTGGAAGAATATAGTATATAACACACATAGCATACAAAATGTGTGTTAACAGACCATAATCAGTAAGGCTTCTGGTCAACAGCGGGCCATTTAGTAGTGAGATTTTCAGGGAGTCAAAACTTACATGCAACTTTCTGACCACACCGGGGGTTGGCCTCCATGTTGTTCAAGGGTCAACTGTGCTGTTTTACTTCTACTTTTAGGAAATTTTAGAATTTTTCCTTGAAGGATATTGTTTGTTCCAATCTACTGGATACAGAAGGGGCCTGAGAGCTCAAATTGGCCGGCAGTGAAACTTTCCAAAACCACCGGCGTTCCTACCAAACTTGAGGTGGTGGTGTTTAGAAATGTAGTTATATCATACTTGCAATTGAAACTTGTGGTTTCCCAAGCCTTTGTGAAAGGATCTACTTCCAAACTGTTGCTGAAGTGACTCAGGTCTCTTCCATACTCCCAGGGGATGTGGAACTGGGGAATGACGAGTACAGGGGCAGAGGCAAACGGACGGTCGATGGTCTGTTCCCAGATTCTTTATGTCACTGATGCTTAGTCCACTGATAATCAAACACGGAACAGTCATTTTTCATTTACTTTAAATACAGTCACAGGCACTAAAATTATTTAAGTATAAAAGAACAGAAAGAGTCTGCTTTTTTCTGTAATGAGAAAGTGAACAGCGAGCCCACGAAATCATTGCAGAGTTTAGGTTCACTGTTTCAGAGCGAATTAAAAGTCCTATTGATTTAGTAGGAGAACACATTTGTGAAAACTAGACTTTTTAACAGGTTTAGGAATGTTTTCAAGATATCAGATAAATGAGTAGTCCTTAAAATACCGGCCTCCACCAAGCCTCCAACTGTCAGCAAATTTGCTTTATAAAGAGGGCAGCCACAAGACTTGTGATTGAAAATTGCTGGGGATGTCCAACATAGTTGGAAATTAAAAAGGGTATAAATGGAAAGCAAGGAGGTAGAGACCGCATATATTACATATTCTTTGTTGTTATTTTTTAAAGATTTTATTTATTTATTTGGCAGGCAGAGAGGGAGGGAGGAAGCAGACTCCCTGCCGAGCAGAGAGCCCGACGTGGGGCTCGATTCCAGGACCCTGAGACCATGACCCGAGCCGAATGCAGAGGCTTAACCCACTGAGCCACCCAGACACCCCGTTACATATTCTTATAAGAAGTGTGGTTATCAAAGACTCATTAGAAGTCACAGTTTAAAAGGTATGTACTTCTACCAAGGAGGTTTTGGAGGGCTATTTATTTAGGATGGAAACTTTTAAAATAAACTTATTGGCTGAGGAAAAAAGAATTGGTAGAAAGTGACAATTTGGGGGTATAGGAGACAGAAGAGTCCATTGTTGGGGCTCCAGGGCCAAGAGCAAGGTGGAGGTGTGGACCTTGAGCATCCTCCTTACCTTCTGAGACTGTTGAAGGTGGCGTGAGTACAGGAGGATTTAGTGGTTCCCATCGTCCGCACCCGGCTTCCAGAATTAAGAGCAATGCTGCAAATACATTTTGATCACAGACTGTTATCTCCCCACACATAGCTATTGTGATACTATGAATGCAGTCCAAGTCTGAATTAGCTTTTGGGGCAACTGGCTGACTCAGTCAGTGGAGCATTTGGGTCTTGATCTCAGGGTTGTGAGTTCAAGCCCCATGCTGGGTGCAGAGATTACGTAAAAGTAATAAAATCTTTTTTTTTTTTAATTTTATTTATTCGTCAGAGTGAGAAGCAGACTCCCCACTGATCAGGGAGCCTAATGTGGGGCTCGATCCCAGGACCCTGGGATCATGACCTGAACTGAAGGCAGAGGCTTAACCCACTGAGCCACCCAGGCAACCCCAAGTAAAATCTTTTAAAAAAAGATTGAATTAGCTTTTTGAGACAATAAATCAGTTTCCCTTGGGAAACAGTATAATATAAAGGAAAATAAGGGTTATAAGTGTTCTGGCATTAACTTCAAATCCTGTACCACCTACTTACTAGCTATAGGATTTTGGTCAAGTTACTTATAATTCTCAATTTTCCAAAAAAAAAAAAGTAATAAAATAATAAATCTCCCTCTGAGAATTACCCTGAGAATTAAATGGGCGATAACTAATAGTAAACATTCCAGAAACGTATTATTTTGATTGCTATTAGTACTCTTGTGGTAAAGGAAAATTAGTAGATATTTTTATAGGGTTATTAAGAAACATTTCTCCCATTCTATTTACTGTTGATTTTTTTAGACTCAGGGGTAAGACTTTAACTCTACTGAATTGTGTGCATGCTAGGTTCATTATACTGTTCCCCTCTCCTAAGATCCTTCTGCGTTCTGACTCCATCAGTCCCTGCATTTCCTGCCCTCTCCAGCCTGCGGGATCTGTGAACCTCACCAGAGTCCTGGCCCCGTCACTGCCATCAGTGCCTTCTTCCCTGCTGACAGATGCTAGGTCTTGTTCAACCCAAGCAACGGGCTCAATTTCAGCATGCCGTCTTCCAGACTCCCTTGCAGGTAGGGGTGGTCATGTGACACACTTGTAGCCAATGAGGAAAAGCAGAGGTCACGGGGTGGGAGTCCAGGAGTGTTTATTAAGGAGGCTAGAGGCATGGGAATGAGAGCCCAATCCTAAGAAGGATGGAGAAGGAAGAAGAGCCTGAGGCTTGAGCCTTCATAGAGGACCTTCACTGTGCGACACCGCAGCCCTTGTCGTGTGACAAAAACAACCCCTATTTCCTTCCGCCTCTCCGTTCCATTTAGCAAACGCAATTCCTACCTGCTCCAGACGCCATCTGTGATGTCATCTAAATATCTGGGGCCAGGGAAATTAGCCCACGCAGAACGGAGCTGAAGCTAGAACACTACCCCCTGTCTTTAGAAACCGTCCTCCACTTTGATTCTAAATTCACTGAGACATGCCTGACATCTACCGCTGTGTAATTTAAGGTGTACAAACGTGACGCGTTACGGACATACATAGTTCTTACACCGATGTCTTACTTTGCAACACTTGTCCATAGGTGAGTCCTGCCTCTGCACTGGCCCCAGTCTGCATGACGAGATGGCTGAGACGCTGTCTGCCGGGTCCGAGGCATGTATTCAGTGTAGATCTGCAAAAGCGAAAGGCGTCGTGCAGTGATCAACTCCTTGTGGCACAGACAAGGGAACTGGGGCTCAGACGCCTTGTCCCAGCTCAGGCTCCCAGGAGGTCGTAGGGCCCGCGCTCACCCCGTCGTCTCCCCCACAGTGTTTACTGCGTTGCACACCCCGTTTGAGTAAGTCATGCAAACATTCCTTCTGTCTTAAACTCTGGCTTCAGGATCTCGTTTTACTTTACCCCCAATTACATTAATTTTTAAAATACCCGCAGGCACTAATGCCAGACTAAAGACCGTGTCAGTTTTTCAGGTGAACACACTTTGATTCTCAGTACCCTGGGGTCCTGTCCACAGTCACAAAGAGCCGGTGGTAGTAAGACACAAGGCTGAAGATGGCTTCTGCAGCTACAGGAAGGAGACTGATAAAGGGCCTCCAATGCCCCCTTGAACTTGGAGTGGGTCACTCTGCGCTCACCCCCATGGTTGGGATCTCAGTAAAAATGGCTTTTCCCCAGTCATACCTGTCATGCGTTGAAGTGGAAAACAGCTTGCGGATTTCTTGTGCCACCCCGAAATGGGACAACACCAGCAGGGACATTTCCTTGATATCTGATAGCCGAGAAGTCCCTCCAACCGCTGCAGCTCCTGCCCCGCAGACACGGGGGAGATTAGATACGGCGTTTGCACCTGGCCAGCCATAAACGGCTTCTGGGTCGCACATGAAGGTTAACAGGCCCCGTTCCCTTCCCTCCTTAGACCTAGAGTGTGAAAACATGAAAGAGAGCTGTAATTATTGATCAACAATAAAAACTTCTGCGGCGTGTGTGACATGAATGGATTTATTTGCCTGCCCGGAGTGGAGGCGGATCTGTTTCTGGGGGTTGACAAGGACATGCCTCCTCTTCCCTGGGTCCTTTACTGATTTATCTTTTTTAAGATCTTATTTAAGTAACCTTTACACCCAACGTGGGGCTTGAACTCCCAGGCCCGAGATTAAGAGCCCCGCTTCATTCTGTCCCTTACCTTCGAATGTTAGACTGTGGGGCTGGTTTCTGTCAGAGGGACAGGAGGGAACTCACTGACTGTGTGCTTGGTCAGCTAGTGAGAGATTCCACCCTTCACAAAGTGGGAAGTTGGGGCACCTGGGTGGCTCAGTGGGTTAAGCCTCTGCCTTTGGCCCAGATCATGATCTCAGGGTCAGGATCGAGCCCTTTATCAGGCTCTCTGCTCAGCGAGGAGCCTCCTTCCCCCCTTCTCTCTGCCTGCCTCTCTGTCTACTTGTGATCCCTCTTACAGTGTCAAATAATTAAATAAAATCTTAAAAAAAAAAAAAGAGCAGGAACTTTTCTCTCCAGAACTTTGCCTGGTTCTTTCTGGTGCATCTGCCCCCCGCCCCCTTCGAGCTAGGCTTTGTTCTCATGACCCCCTTTTTTGTGACCCAGCATTGATCCTGAGGCCGGACAAGTGTGGCTCGGCTTGGGAAGCAGGGCAGAGCTCAGTGCACTTCCTGGAGTCCTCTCCGTGAGTATGATTCAGGGGATCCTGGCTGGCTGAAAGCAGATTAAAATGAGTTTATAGACTTCTGCGGCCAGCTGTCATCTACTTAGCCACAATGTGGTAATGCGAGAGCATTAAAAAAAAAAAAAAAAAAAAAAAAGACACCATATTAGCAGATCATTTGAATGTACCCCCCTCTTTTTCCTCCACAAACCCTAATGCTCCACAGTTTTGTTCCCAGTATGTTATATAAGCATGAATCATTCTGAGACTTGAATAACTCCTTTGACCATGGGGAGTTCGGAGGCCTACAAGGAACTTTAGCTGAAATGGAAACTTGCCACATGGGTGACACTCTCCACTCCTGTTTTCTCCTAGTTCCTAAACTTTTCAAGTACGAGAGCCCATTTTTCACCCAATACTAGGCATTTTATTTTAGTCTCTGTTGACTGAGATTACCAAAAGCTGTCATGAAAGCAGCATATTTTGTACTGATTAATCATCGCAACAATCACTTACACATGAAAAATAACAGTACATCTATACCAGTACGTTCTTCATTCTGTCCTCGATAACACTCGGTATAAATATAGATTTCCGGACTCCTTAACGAAACTTCAGGGGCTCCCAGGGGTTCGAGGGCCAAATTACACAGTCACTCTTCGAAAGAGTAAATGACTCTTGCAGAAGGAATTTAGAAAGAGGGCTGTTAAAAGAATCTTGCAAAAACTTGCAGAATAAGATCTTCGGTACACCATGTTCCACAGGACGAACGAAGAGGGCGTGAGGAAGCTAGCTCTCGAATTTCCAGCAATAACTTGAGGTGTTGTGCTCCTGCAATTTAACCGACCTATGGGGCACTGTTGTTGGTTTTTTTTTAATGGACCAATGTAATTAGATAAAATTCATAATCAACTCAAATATTTATCTTCTTGGGGCTCCTGGCTAAGTGAAGTGTGAGACTCCTGATCTTGGGGTTGGGGGGTTGAGCCCGATGTTGGGTGTAGACTTTACTTCAAAAAAAAAAAACCATTTTTTTGTATCTTTTATCATCTTATAGTGCAGCCCCCTGAACCAGTATAATCGCTGTATGTTAGCAAGAATGATTGCACTTGAAAATCCCTATTCAGTAAAACTAAATTAAGTAAAATACAGAGTACGTAATTCACAATCTGATTTAATTTTTACATGAGATTATTAACAAACTACTGAGCTATCACAGACCCTCTAAATCATGTTCTCACCCTTTATTCAGACCTATAAAATAATATTCAGGTCACTGGATGTGTTTTAAACGTTATTTCTAGCCTCATTTTCCCTTTTGATTTGAGGCAAGCAACGGTTTCCCCCAAGAGTCTCCAATGCACATCTTCAAACACAGAGCAGAGTTCTAGTGTAAATTATAGTCCTTTCTTCTCTTAAAAAAAAATGGCCAAGAAAAAAAAACACTGTACCCCATTTTTCAGTAATCCTCAACTGTTGATCTTCCTTCCGGGAGCCCACTCTTCCTGATGGAATTACATTGGGTTTGTAATCTAAAGAACCTGTTTTCCCTGGGTCAGAAGGAATGAAAGGCTCAGCCTCACACCTAAGCCAAACTATTCCCTGGGGAATCCTCTCCAGATAGCAAACATTAGAAAAAGCAAAGATAAACCTCCCGGGAGCAGCCCCAAGGCTGCCCAGCTCCAGGAGGAATCCTTCGAGACTTCCTTGGGTGCCTAGTTACAAGAATGATCTGGTCGGTGGTGACGAAAGATACACATTCCCATAAAGCTTTTATACCAGCTAAACACTGACCCCCACCAGGCAGGGCAGGGGAGCTGATAACCTCTCCCAGTCAGGCTGCCCCGAGAGATCTTTGAAAGCCAAAGGGCAGACTCACATCAACTCAGCTGCCCTGATGATACGCAGCGGACCTGCCGACATCTCATGGCTTCGCACCAAGGCAGACCTTCCAGAAGGGCAAAAATCAGAGGCTTCACCCCCAGTCCTGTTCTGTAGCACAAGGCTGTGTCCTTCACAGAGTGCAATTCCTTCCATCACCCCAAAGATGCCACCTCCCTCTCCCCAAGTCCACCACACAGCCCCGCAGAGCGCAGAGCCCGGCTCTCCAGGGATTTGCATCCAGGTGCAAATTCCTACTCATCGTGGGAATCCGTCATCCAAATGCAAATCATTTTGCAAGATCAAAATTCTTTGGCTATGATTAGTAGGGACCAGCCTCTAAGAAAATTTGCATTTTAACTGGTAACGTAGGTACAGCCACGGGTCAGAGAAATGAAGGGACAAAGAGATCATTGCAAAAGCAAATTAACAAACAAATGAGATATGAATACACTCTATTAACGGTCTACATTTTTGAAACAGGAAGAGATGAGAATTTAGAATGCTGAAACGCATCCAACTGAAAAGGGGCAAAAGGAATTTTAATGAATTACAACACAACTTGAGATGAAACCTGGATAATTAGAGTCTCCATGATTGTAACTCAGTGGAAAACTGGCTTGATTTAGCCCCCTTTAAATGATTGCTTGTAGTTGAAGACAGCTAGGTTATAAAGCAAGGCAAGCTAATATTAGAAAAAGTTAAAAACCTTTCCAGCCAAATATTTTTAAATGACTTGCTAGCATTTTAGGACACTGTTTTCTATATTATTAAAAAAAGAAAGAAAGAAACCAGAAAATTTTCCCAAATTCAGTTCCAGGAAGCTCCTGTGTCTGTTGGTTCATGATATCATCCTCCATAATCCAAATATACTGGCATTGAGGAACCAAGATATCCGGTCAGTGATCTGGATAAGCATAAGATCAATAAAAATGACTGATAGGAGAAGCACCACCCACAGTTTGTGAGGCAGAGCTCTAAGTACCTTGAGCACTGACGAGAGCCACCGTGAGGGCACCAACTTGGGCAATGACCCACCTCACATACCCTTGTCCTTCCCACCGGACATGGAGATTCACATCCCCAGGAGCACTGGGGTTAGACTCTGGCCCTCTGAAGACCTGAGCCCCCTCTACACACGGGCTAGAAGTGGTTGAACGCTTACCTAGAGATGGATTCCCCGAATGCGATACGCAGGACACAGTAAGATCCGTCCTAGCAACCACGGGGGACACCAAGAGCATTTTCTCAGTCCTAGGCCTGCCTGGGATGTGGTTAAAATCGGTCTTAGACAGTAATGAAGTAGACTATAAGGTTCTTGGAGTAAGTCAAGTCTCCCTGCCGCGGTTTTTTCCTGGCAGGTCCCCACCCCAAGCTCGGTGCCTGACGTTTGACTTTTAAACCGTTGACAACAGGAGAGACCTTGGGCTAGATGAGCGGACACCCTCCACCTGGAACCACTTCCTGTGACTGCTGGCCTGTGACACATACGCGTCTCTCTCCTCTTTCATTCCCACCGTCCCTTCCTGCCCTTCTGGGACCAGAGCAGAAGGGCGTGCGGATGCACACTGGCGTGGAGGTCCTATTCTCATGAGACTGGAACTGTAAAACTCTTTTTTATCACTAAATACACCAAAGGCTTATCTTTATGAAAAGAGAGAAAAAGCTTAGCTCACCCTTACTTACTTAATCCTTCTCCAGTCTAGCCCTAACACTTCCACTCAGGGCGGGGGGAGGTGGGAGCACAGGGAGTCAACGGTTCGGCTTCTAGAAACTGTGCCTTATTAGTGCTTGCTTTAAAACCCACAGCACTTTCGGGGCACCTGGGTGGCTCAGTGGGTTAAAGCCTCTGTCCTCAGATCAGGTCATGATCCCAGGGTCCTGGGATCAAGCCCTGCATGGGGCTCTCTGCTCAGCGGGGAACCTGCTTCCCCTTCTCTCTCTGCCTGCGTCTCTGCCTGCTTGTGATCTCTGTCAAATAAATAAATAAAATCTTAAAAAAACAAAAACAAAAAACCACAGCACTTTCTATATTCCCATCCAGCCCTTCCCTGAGGTCAATACCAGACTCAAAATTGAATTTTATTCCAAGCTCTGTTACCACTGTAGTAGGAGATGGTTTGTTTAGGAAGCACTAAACTCCAGGTCAGGTGTATATTAAACAGAAGTTCTTTACCTTCCCACTCCTTATACTTAAAAAAAAAAAAATGTTACTTATTTAC